TATCCTGCCTCAAGTATTTTGTTAAAAGTAATAAATAGCTGACTAATCTAACACTGAATGCTGCTCTACCCCCATTATCATATAACCACATTGGGAGGGTATGGGAAAGGCAAGTGATGTGTAGGATAGGCAGAGGTGGAGGGAAAGGAGCTAAACATCTCTAGTGGGTAGTCAAAGGTTGAGCTATCAGGAAGAGCAATCCAGGTGTTCTCTTTAGAAATATGGAGGTAAACACCTAAAGAATCAGCTAAGAGCTGAAACGACTGCCTCAGAAAGGGGAAAATGGAGCAACCCTTACAGGGCAACTTAACTCTTGGCATGGATAAATAATTTTGACTTAAAAACTACAAAAAAGTTTTAAACTTTAATTTAAAAAATATACTATCATCCCCATACCTCCTAAGTTGGCAATTTCTTGAGAGTATTTTTCATTGCATTTCATTGGGAGTAACTTCTTTACAAGCTGTTCTAAGCAAATAGGTCCCAGTCCATAGCAAGACTTTAAAAGGCTCAGAAAAACGGAGATAGAGAGAAACTGAGCTAGAACTGAAAACCTTAAGAACCATACCAGGCTCCTACCTCCTTATACCTGGGCAGTTATCCTAACATCCTCTGTGTTGACAGAGTTGATGCTGGGATAATGTGTAGAAGGTTCCAGGCATGCCAAAACCACCTACCTGCAGGAACCCAGGGACCAGGCCAGAGGAGGAGGCAGCCCAGCAAGTGTAAGGCTTTCTCCCTACCTGCCATATAACCAGGAAATCTCTCCTCAGGCCCTGCTGCTGGCCATCCTGGGTGGACACAAGGACACTCTGAGCCTGGAAACTAGAAACCTGAGTCACACCATGCCATACTCATTGTGTTTACAGAAAGCAAGTTCATTATTTACAGGAATAGAAACATTGAGCTAATTGACTTTTAAAGACATCAAACACAGCAGACAAACAGAACACAGAAAATGTGTGTGAAAGAGGCACTGCGTCCCAACCCAGCAGGTGTCCTGGTCAGTAGACTTTTCCCACTATGGTCTCCTACAAGAAACTTCTCACACCTTGCTCGTGTTCCAGGAAGACCCTTCCCAATATTACAAGCCCACTTTTCCCCCAAAGGAACCCAAGTTAAGAAAACAGAACTTTCTTCCCAGACCACTCAAGCCCCTGAGCCAAGTTATATCAGTCCCTGGAGCTCCCTGGGGCCCCGTTCCCCAAGCCTGTTCTAGAGAAGGTTTTGGGCAGTGTGAGTCACCCTGCTCCCATCCATGAGCTGCAGAGAACACAGGCCGACCCCAGGCTCCACCTTCCAGGAAGCCTCTCCTTGCTCCTTTCGGGAAATGAGCTTTCTGTTTAGTCCAGGATTGGGAAGACACAAATGGAACTTGAGTCTTACTTTTAAGTCCCCACACTTGTCTGAGGACTGTGATTGGTTAGTGACAAAGGGAGAAAAATAAGGACAGAAAGGGATGTGTTTGGAGAAAGAAATGGTCTTGCTTGTGGGGTGAGGTACTTCTTACATTTTTGTTTTAAAATTAACATCTTTTAAAAAAAGAAATGATGGTGATTGTGGATGACATATTCTTTAAATGTCCTTACTTGGCAAAACTGAAGGTATCTCTAGTCCCTCCTCAAAATCAACTTTGTTCTTGGAATAAAAAGTCTAGGACACACTGTGGTTGATGACACATGTGAATAAGACCCACCCTAGGGTCAGAGCCACAAATTCCAAGAGTCAGGAAGCACCAAGGCGTCTTGTTCAACTTCCTTTGGCACTAAGTATGTGCCAGGAAACCTCTGCCAGGGTCCACCAGCCTCCTTGGTCCCCTTAAGTGGCAGGGAGCTCATTCCCTCATGCACAGCTCTGATGACTACAGTGTCTCCTTGTTGAATTAAGAAACCTGCATTGTCCTTGGACCCAGACAGATACCTGGCACCACCTGGAACCAGCTTTTTCCTCTTGGAAGGACAGCCATGTGCCCCTCAGAAAACACGTTCCACCCTTCCCTCCCTCCTATATAATAGACTGGCCATCCTGATCCTTCTGTGTCAATTTGCTCCTTTGCTTCCCCACCCCAATCATTCCTCTTGTGGAATGACTTCCCCAAGTTTACATGGCCAGCAAGTGAGTTAAAACCCAGTCCTCCAGTCCTGGCCCCCACTTCTCTATATGTGACAGAGAGTCACAGTAAATGAGTACTGGCTCATTACTCAGTAAATGAGTACTCAGTAAATGAGTCTGGCTATTCCAGACAAGTTGAAAAAGCAACACTTAAAAACAAAACAAAGTGTGTGTGTGTGTGTGTGTGTGTGTGTGTGTGTGTGTAGCATAAGAGCAGTCAGTGTGACCCCACTAAACACTCCAACTTCATAGGAAAAAAATCCAGAAGGAAATAAGTCAACATGGTCATAGCTGGCTTCCTTGAGGTTAGCTAATGGATAAGTTTTAGCTTATTTTAGTTCTACTGTCTTTTCTAGAATTTTTTTTATAATGAACTTGCTTTTATTTATAAAATGGAGGAAAATAATTACCATTTAGGAAGAGTAAACAAGAAAAGTAAAAGTAGCCACTAAAGACTCCACTTTCTAGTCATTCACCAATGGACAAGTGGCAGAGGGCACTAGTGCTCCAGAAAAGGCCTGGGGTCCCAGCCCTTCCCTGTGGGGCTGACCTTGCCCCATCTGCCCATCCTGTTCTTCTCCAGATTGCTGCCTCCACCCCCATGGGCTCCTGTGCCTGATTCAGAAGGGAGCATAAAAGGAAGGTGCAGAGAACAGTGGCTCACTTAGCATATGAAAAATGCACTGAATGTACTAGACTGACCATGCTGATCCTAGTCCAGAGCTTGCTCCTTTAGAGCTCAACACAGAGTCCCCAGGTCCTCATGGGACAAGACTATTGTTGGACAAGGGTGTGTCCATGCCAGCCCTCTGGGTAAAGCCTTTCCCTGGAGGTAAGGCCGTTCCCCTTGGACCTCCAGGCACACCAGAGTAGAAGTGGGGCCCCCACAGGTCAGAATCCTGTCTGACTCCCCAGGAGCAATGTGCTCTTAGTGTTACCACCCTGTGGCCACAGGCAAGTTTTCCTTCTAGGGCTTCAGGTTTCATGGATGACATCAGGATGGAGAAATCTTGGCAGTGACTGGACTGGGTGATATCAAGGTTTCTTTCCAGCCTTAACATTGACAGATCAACACTGACTGGTGACCTCACTCTCCCACTCCATCCAGCCTTGCCCCTCTGGCTACCCAGCACCCCGATCCTTGAATGGATCTCCAGGTCTTAGAGAATTCCCAGCATCGCACATGTGTGTGTGCAGGGTGGTTTCTCAGTGAGGGTTGGTAAGGACCGGAGGCATAGAGGTAAGTGTGACTATGAGGTGTGGGAAAGACAAGCTCCCATTTTGTTTCTGGCATAGGCATGTTCGCCAAATATTTCGACTTTTTGAGGGTTCTACCTCTTTCCCCTCCAAGCTCCAGCTTCTCCCAGCTACCCCACCCTTTCCCATTCTTTTATCTTCTGTCCTTGAAATAGACTGACTCTATTTCAAGTCCCAGCTTTGTGTTCTTCTATCTCTGTCTCTGTCTCGCCCCACAGCAAGGCCTGTCACTTAGGAGGGACCATGTAGCCTTTGGTTCAATGACTTTGTGTGTCCAGCTCCATGTCTCCACTGCAGGGGTCAGCCCACTCCTCCCAGGTTCCTGGGCCTCTTCCCTGCAGTGCTCTCAGTCCTCAGAGCCCATCTGTTCCAGACAGAAAGGAAGGTGGGCTCTCATTGCACAATGACAAACTCAAATCATTATTCCGCCAAGATCCAAATGACAAATAGGGGAGTCTGACAGTGCCATGATTTGTGAACCTGACACCACTTCTCGGATGTACAAATTTTAATTAAAATCTCAAGAGTGATTGGGGGGAGTCCTTTTTTGTTCACCTCCAGGCTCTGCTAGGCTGCCTGGCAGGTCAGGGCCTCATCATTATAGAAACAAACGTTTAAGTGGCTGTCGCTAAAGATTTTGGAGATGAGGGGATGCTCTGACAACTCCTGCAGCAGGCCCTGCCTGTTGGGGTGCCTGGAAGCTCCCAGCCACCCCACCACTCCACCCATTTTACAGGGGAGGAGACCAAGACCCAGGGAAGTGGTTTGCACATGGACTCACCTATAGCAATGGCAGGGTGTGTGTGTGTGTGTGTGTGTCCTTTCCATCCTGGATATATGGAATGTCAGCCATTTTCCCACTTTTCTTGAAAAGTGGGAAAGCCAGGGGCTTATAAGCATTTATTCTGACCCCTTTTTTACCTAATAGGAGCCCTGCCTCATGGAGGATTAGCTAAGCTGAGGGAGAGATGAGGAGACGGCAACAAGAGCAAAAACGCAAGTGTCTTTTCTCCTAGTCACTCCTGGAGAAAGGCAAGTTGAGGGACAGTTGCTTTGGCTCCAAATCTTGCTCTTCCTGGCCTCCCAGGGAAGAACCTGAGAACCTTCACATAAAAGCCCTAGTCCATTAGGACAGCCTGAGCAGAACAGAAGGGCTGAGGAGGGCTGGGCAGATGGCCCTGCATGGGATCCCAACCTTCACACTTCCCTAGTTTAGCACAAAGACTAGCAGAAGGAGTGGTTCAGTGAGGGGGGCATGAATCTTGAGTGGAGGCTCAGAGGGCCTCACAGGTATGCTTAGGGGTGGCTGAGCAGGGCCAGCGAGAGCCTCCACCTGGGGCCACCACCTTCCAATTGTGAGAACCAGAGCAAATCTCACATCTGCAGGCCCTGGCCTCACCTGAGAGAAGGTGATGGTCAGCACACCTATCCTGCCAGGTATGATGGGGCATGGACGACAAATAGAGGTGTGCCAGGTGTTTAGCAACCATGTCCTGCTGGGTCACAGAGCCCATTGGAGTGACGTTACCAGTTGACCATCCCTTAGCACCAAGGACCTGCTTTGCCCCACCCCTGCCACACCTTCAGCACCTAGCAGGTCCCTATGACACCGTCCCACACCCCACACTCACCCTCAGGGCCGGCAGGGAGCTGACCTGCTCCATGGTCAGTGTGGCCTCCTTGTAGTACTTTCCTGCAGGGCAGAGCTTCAGAAAGGTGTCATGGATGCTGAGGAGAGAAGCATGAAGCCCACGTGGGTAGGGAAATGGGACCAGTGAACCCTCCTCCCATGTGGGTGGATGTTGTCTCTCTTGGGAGAGAAATGGAAGATGGATTGACCAGGAAAGGGCAGTAATAGCCAGTGTAGTGGTGCACATCTGTAATGCTAGCTACACAGAAGGCAGAAATGGGAGGATTGTGGTTTAAGGCCAGCCAAAGCAAAAAAAAAAAAGTTAATGAGACGTTATCTCAAAAAACAAGCCAGACACGGTGATGCACACCTGTAACTCCAGCTATGAAGAAGGTGGAGGTAGGAGGATCTCAGTCAAAGGCTGGCATCCTGGGCAAAAGCAAGATCCTGTATGAAAAGTAACTAAAGCAAAAAGGGCTGGAGTTGTGGTTCATGGTAAAGCTCCTGCCTAACAAACACAAGGCCCTGAGTTCAAACCCAGTACTCCCCCCAAGACGGTAATAAATAGTTCCCCAATTCTAGAGACTTCCCCCAGCCTCCCCTGTGCCCAGCACATCATGGGGACATAATCTGAGCTGAGCACATGAAAAGGTGAGCGCTGTGCTCTGTCATCTGTAACACACTCTACAAGCATTTGTTCTAGAACATTGAAGTTGGCAGGGACTCAGTGATGGCTCAGTGCAGTCCCACAGAGACAGATGGAGACACCAAGGTCCCCCTCTTGGCCATCTTCCCACTCCATTTGCAGTACAGAGGTCACCTGATGAGCCAGGGTGACTCAGGATCAGAGCCCTCGTCCCAGCAGCTGACAAACCTTACAGCCATGCCAGTTGGCTGGCAGCAAGTCCGGGTAGACTGCAGGACTAAGGGACTTGCAATCCACCTGTCTCTAGGCCTCCACAGCAGTGCAGGGGACTTTGCTGGTAAGTGTCAGGCAGAGAGAGAAGGAACTGTGCCCCAGGTCATGAAAGGAGGACCCCTCACCACATCCTGGATGCAAGTCCTTGTCCACCAGCAAGCTCTTGGGTCTGTGGAGAGGACCGGCAACCAAGACAGCCAGTGGAGAAGAGACAGTGGCGGTTTAGGACCCAGGCAGCCGGGATCCCAGACCCTGCACTGTGCCAGCAGAGCTGTGTAGCCTGGGGCAACTTGCTTAACACGCTGTCTTAGTTGCATTATCTGCTTAGACAATATCGCTCTTGAAGGGCTGTGTGTGTGCATGCGTGTATGTGCGTGCGGGCATGCGTGCGCGTGTGTGGGTTATAGGGGTAACCACAGGCTGGTTAAAAACATTCTCTGCAGCCAGCCGCACCTAGGTTCCCATCTCCTGTCTGGGTTCCTCTCCTACTCTAGGCACTCATGTGCCACTGGCTGTGCAGAACCCAAAGCAAGACTGCAACAGTAGATGCTCCCTCCCCTGACTCAGACCTGCTCTCTGGGTTCCTTTTATGGTCCCCTTTCAACTCCAAAATTCCTTTCTCTCCTCTATCTCAGCTGAGTGCTAGGAGGCAAGCAAGTTGATCAAACTAATTCACGCTCAGGAGTGAGTGACTAACATCCCCCTCATGACATCACCAGGGTATATGGTTTATAAACTCACATGAGTCTTTGGTTGGTGCAATTTAGGGACATGTGACTAAGTGAGGAATATGGAGTAAGATTTTTTTGGCTAGAGATTCAGAGATAGAGAAGGAGGCTCTCTCAGGTCCCAATAGCAGAGAACTCAGAGTCACCTTCTTCCCCTTCCCGCTCCTTCTCCCCGCTTCCAGCCACTCATCTCACCAGAGCTCACTGACTAGAAAAACATCCTGTAGATCCCAGCCATGAGAAAGTGAAAAGAAACAAGCCATGGTTCTGTTTGCCCACCATCCTGCCCAGCTCTGTGCTCTGGAAGGCTGATCTCTCTCGACTGCAGCCCCAATCCCTGGTCCTTGGCCTTCCAGAAGGCTGTGAGACACGAAGGGTCCATCTTCCCATCCTGCTAGTCTCAGCATAGCTCTGACCAAATGACCAGTTGCCACAGCTCAAGCCCTCAGCTGGGCAGCACGGGCCCAGAATTAGTGGTAGCTAGTGGCTGGATGCTCCCTTGATCTCTGAAAAGTCCCTCCACTCTGGGACATCCTGCTGGGATGTGACAGACAGACACACACATTCAGATCCTGTCCTTCTGGACAAGTTGTTGGACCTCTGAGCAAACACGCATATGCTCTGATCTTGACCGTCCAATGGCTCCAGTGGACTGAGAGGAAGGCCAATGCATGGATATTCAGGGATAGCACCACGACCATGCCAGCCTTGAAAGGGACCCCAAGCTGTAACCAGAGGGTTTGCACCAATTTAGAAGGGAACAGAAAAACAGGATATGGCTGGGCACCGGTGGCTCATACCTGTAATCCTAGCTACTTGGGAGGTTGAGATGGGAAAGATCACAGTTTGAGGTCAGCCCAGGCAAATAGTTGGTGAGATCCCATCTCCAAAATAACCAGAACAAAATGGATTGGAGGTATGGCTCAAGCAATAGAGCGGGAAGCCCTGAGTTCAAACCCCAGTCACACACACACACACACACACACACACACACACACACATACCCCACACACGAGAGAGAGAGAGAGAGAGAGAGAGAGAGACAGAAAGAGAGACAGAAAGAGAGAGACAGAGAGAGAGAGACAGAGAGAGAGACAGAGAAAACAGGGTATGGGTTGCGATGGGAGAGCCACTCTCCTGGAAGGTACTGGGGCAGGAGGTAGGCAACACAGGCCCATAGGAGGGAAGGAAAGCTCCAAAATGAAGCTGGAGGGTCTGATGAACTCTCTAAGGGGCAGGGGCATGGAAATGGATGGCTGTAGCCAAAAGGAGCAAACTGGTCATGTCATTGTTAGAAGGGCTGGGGCAGAGTGACAATAAAAAGCAGACCAACTGTTACTGTTTTATCGATTTTAAACAGTTCCCTCTGCCAATGTACCCTTGCTCCCTGCATTCGGGTGACTGCTCCTGCTGTCCCCACTGTGATGGGGGCACCACAGTCGTGTCTGCCATTGCTGCCAGCCAGCTGTCTGTGTCATTTTGTATGACAGTCCTGCAAGGGCAGGGCCCACCATGTCTTCTATAGAGGAGGAAACAGAAGGCCAGGAATGACTTGCCGGAAGCTACATGGTTATCAGCAATACAGCTAGGGCCTCAAACATCAAGGTGTTTTCCCAGGAGTCTAGGGAAGAAGCTCCAAGGGAAAGAGAAGGGACTGCTACTGTCACTACCCCTCTTCTCATAACCACACTCTACATGCTAAGCACACTCACACACATCATTGAGTCTTCCCAGCAGCTTCCTGTGGGAGACATGTGGGCTGATCATTTCTATGGATGGGTAAACTGAGGCTCGGGGATTATGCCCAAGCTCATACAACAGGGAAAAGGCAGAAGGGAACCCTGAAATGGGCTATGTTGGTCAACTCTGAAGGGTCTGCCCTTTCCCCAGATGAGAGACTCTTAGCAACACCCCCAAAAATGCCTCTGAGGTGGGGATGTTGGATGGAAGGCACTGTGCAGACTCCACACCTGCTTTCCCAGGCGGCCACAAGGGGCCAGCTGCCCGCAGATGAATCGTGGCTGCATCTCGGCTGCCACAAAATGTTCTCTTCCTCCAAATATGGATCAGCAGCCTCTAAATGGAACTCCAAATTAATCACTAATGGACTCAAAAGTCAAAGCCATTTGAGAAACTCACACGTTGAGCCTGCCAGCAGTCAGGCAGCCTGGGTGTGGTTCTCTTCCACACTTGGCTCAGAGACCAGGGAGGGCTGTTTGCAACTGGGAGGCTGGCCCCACCACCAGTTCTCTGTCATGCCTTGGATCTGTCATGCCCCCCACCATGGGCCTCAGTCTCCCTCTCTAAAATGAAAGTCTCAGTGAATTCTCTCTCTCTCTCTCTCTCTCTCTCTCTCTCTCTCTCTCACACACACACACACACACACACACACACACACACACACTGGTTTCTCTAGATTAGGCATCTGAGGCTCTAAGTTCCTGTACCTCTCCCTGGCATCCTCTCCAACCCCTTGCCTCTGAGACCCTTGAGTTTAGTGGTTTGCAAATGGGGTCCCCCATGAGAATCATGAAGGGAGGTTGTAAAAGGATCTATGTCCTTCTAGCCACCAAGATTCTCATTCAAGCTCTAGACAGAACCATGCTACCTGTAAGTTCTACAAGTTTCCTATGTGTCCACTGCACCTGAAGACCAAAACACAGGTTCAGTACAAGTCTGGTTTCTACCCCTCTGTTTCCCTAGGCTCAGCCCTCCAGACTTCTCCCCTCTGGGTCAACAGTCCATTGCCCTATGGTATATAGCCTGCAGATACTTTATAAATGGCTCCTCATTAGCCTGGAAATGCAGCTTTTAGTCCCCTGATCTGCTACTTCCAAGCTGTGTGACCTTGGGCAAATCACTGAGTTTCTCTGAGCCAGTTTCCTTATTTGCAAAAAGGGATAATAGTACCATGACGATGACAGCTACCACACACTCAGCACTGAGCTGTGTGCCAGGCATTGCTCACACGAGGACGTGGACTTGATCATCTCATTGTCCTCATGACGACTTTGAGAGATTAGGTGCTATGACTCATCAATGTCACACTGTCTCATAAGTATGAAAACTGAGACTCAGTAAGGTAAGAACCTCACCACAGTCACACAGCTAGTAAATAGCAGAACTAAGCCTCAAACCCATGGTATAGCTTCCAGGAAGTACCTGTGACACTCTACCTGCCAACCTGCATGCAGGTGATCTGGAGGACCCAGGAGCTAATGGCCAGGACACAGTGCAGAGACTGTGATGTGTTAAGAGTCTTTAGGGTACTAAGAAGAATGACTGTGTAAGAGGAAGGGGATGTGGCTCAGTGATAGATTGCTTACCTAGCATATGTGAGGCCCTGGGTTCAGTCCCCAATAACACAAACACACACACACACACACACACACACACACACACACACTACACAAAGTTGAAAATTGGGGTTGAGAATGTTGTTGAATGATAG